CCAAAGTAATGGAGGTGATAATTTCCACCTCCATTTCCAAAATTATAAAATATTTCCATCTATTCTCTAATAAACTGTCTAAAATGGACACTGCAGAAATTCTTGACATCTCAGGGCCTAGGTTTTCTCATCTGTCAGAAGGGGTTAGCCTGGGTGGACTCTAGGATTCTGCAGTGCAGTGAATTACTTAATATGGCCCTTCTAGCCATAGTCTTTGTAACTCCCACCAAATGACTGTGTAGGACTATGCAAATGGGATGCCTGTGGCTCACCAAGGGGATTGGATGCTTGCTAATAATGTGAATAAGGTGCATGCACACTTGTGGGGTTGGACCATCAGATAAAGTTTATGGAACTCTAATGAGGGAATTGGCCAGTTTTGCCATCCCATTAGGCTTAAAATGAGCCATCTCATCCATCCCAGAAGTGGGAAGGGAGGATCTCTCTATCACCAAGAAAGGAGAGCTAGGAGTGGAGAGCATCCTTTGGACTAAGTCCCTATGCTGAGAACATCCTAGATCCAGGAGACAGAAAGAGGGAGCTGTAACACTGGAGATGGTGAGAGATGACGAGAAGCAGTGGCAGAGAAATGGCAGCAGCAAAGGCAGCAGAACCGGGAGACAGGCATGAGATGGAGTGTTGGGCTTCCTGGCCCAAGAAACAAGAAAGCTGAGCACCTACAGGCAGGATGCTTGCTGGAGGAGTGGGGTGCCTCTGGGCACTTGTCAGAGCTAGGCTTGCCGACCTACAGAGAGAGAAAGCTGAGTGCCTTTGGGGTGGGGCTTACTAGTGGAGTGGGGTGCCTCCAGGCACTTATTGGCAGAGCTGAAAGAGCTTTGTAACACTTACCTGAGCAGGGCACACGCCAGGTCCAGGGACCAAGATGCTGAGGGGCCAAGAGAGGTGCGCTTGTGGGCATGGCTGAGAAAAGGCTGTCTTGATCAAAAAACTGTATTCTGAGCGTTCCTGAACCTGAATTGCAACCTGTTACTTCCCTAATGAAGCCTATAATTGTGCGTATTGTCTATGAGTTCTGTGTGGCCATTGCAATGAGTTATCAAACCCAGCAGAGAAGTAGAGAGTGCCATGGGAGGGAAGGTTGGTGTCAGAATTGGTAAAAATGTCTGACCTCTGCCTCATAGGAATCAGCCTTGGGCTGTTGATCTTGATTCTCCTTCCCCCCGTGAAGTTAGAAGAGGTCCGATGCCTCAGCCACAACATTTTTACAGCTGGTGTCAGAAGTAGGCTTTGGTGCAATGGCTCCAGACTCGTGGAATCACAGGACTTTGTAAGAGAAAGAATGAAAGGGCATGGGGAATGAAACTTTTGATTCTTAGATGGTTACTTTGGTTGTTGTTACCTGTAATGGATGAAAGGGAAGTAAGAGATGTTGTGCTGCAGCTGAGGGGAGAAAAGCCACGTGTGGAGTGGCCTGGGGCAAAAGCTAGGTTGGTTAAACAAGATGATTGATAGGCGGCCAGCATCTGCTGGTTTCACCCAGCAAAAGGCCCGAGGCCATAGGCATATGAATGAGAAGACAGTCAAGGGGTGGAGAAGATAAAATGAAATTGGAATGTTTTAAAAAGGGTTATGTGTTTCTTTGAATGTACTCTGGATATTGAGTATTTCTCTTACCTAGTGTGCTAAAACAGTCCTAAATATGATTGAAATGAATATTGGGTTTTATAGATTACAGAGGGTATGTAACTCCACCTTCAGCCAATACTGGATTGCATATGCTAAAAGAGGAACCAGGATTTACCTGAAGAAACACAGGCTTTTTGTTTCAAGCCAGCAGCTTTGTGTATAGAGTATTGAGGGCTTAGGTGGAAAACCTGAGCCCCACCCAGGAAATTTGCATTTGAAAAGATATGCAGACCTACCCAGAACTGCTGGGAGAGGAGGAAATATGTATTTGAAGGAAGGATCTGCAGGAGAAAAAAAAAGACTCTTTTACTTTTTGAATTTTGAGCAAGTGGTTTGCCTTTGGGTACATTGAAGCAAAAAAAGTCAGTGCCCATCAGAAGAGAGGAACTCCTTTCCAGGACTGGAAGTTAAAAGGACCCGGACAGTAGACAGCCTAGTATGCTCACTTGAGGTGACCACCTGGGGCCACAAGATGAATGGAAGTGGGGGAGGTGCAGCAGTGAAAAGATGAGCTGATTTTGGACGTGGTCTACGGCCACCAATTGACCTAGCCCACAGAGGCTAGGGATGGGAGAGAGAGAGAAAGGGCTGGCTGATCTGAAGTGCAGGGAGTTGTGTGGACTCCTGAGCTTATGGGCTGTACCCATTGACCTAGCTTGGATGGCTAAGGATAAGCTGACCAGAACTCAACTGAATGAAGAGAAAGATGTTGACACTGTGAGCTGACATAAATTGCTGCAATTTGATGGTTTGCTCTGGACTGGACTTTGCTTATAGATGCAGATGCTCAAAGTTCCAACTGGAACAGAAGATTCTTCAAGACCAAGGAACATGCTTGTCTCTTCAGGGTACTGGTTTGATAGGGATGGGCAATTTAAATATTGGCTATCTAAAATGGAGGGAGATAAAGACATGAAGTGGTTGGCTTGCATGCTTTTGTGAGGGTGCCCAAAATGAGAGGGACAAGGGAGGATCCCCACTGAGTTGTTTCCTCTTTTCCTGATGGGTCCAGGGAAGAAAGGGTGGGGGAAGATGTTGATAGGATTATGTGATTCACTTGTAAGTGTTGATTGTTGGCAGGGTTCATTGTGATTATAAAAACTGTAATTGTAGAAGCTGTAACTGTGAAAGAGTGGACTAAGGGAGAGGCACTGCTGGACTGGAGTACAGTGGCTGAACCTAAAGTTCCTTAAAGGTTTTGCATGCTGATACCTCGTCAGGCTCAGAGCAAGGGAATAATCGCTCAGTTCAATTTTATCAGAGGCCAGAAAGGGTGAAGATGAGAGGAACTTTTGGAGAAACTGACCAGCTCAGATGGACACCTGCAGCAGACCCAAATTGCTGGGACCTGAGTAACCTCATCCTTAGGACTCTGCCCTACTAAAGGACTCATTGTGAATGACTGTTTTGGACTGGTAAAATGATTGGGAGGTGGGAAGTTAATCCTTCAAGCATGAAAGGGCCAATGGCTGGCTAGAAGAGCCAAGGCGTGGCCTGTGGTTCAGTGAATTACTTCATATGGCCCTTCTAACCATAGTCTTTGTAACTTCCACCAAATGACTGGATGGGGCCATGCAAATGAGGTGCTTGTGGCCCACCAAGGGGATATGATAGCTTGCTAATAATGTGAATAAGGTGCATGGCACCCTTGTAGGCATGAGACCATGCTAATAAGTTGTATGGAACCCTAGTGAGGGAATTAGTCAATTTTGCCAACCCACTAGGCTTAAAATGAGCCGTCCCAGAGGTGGGAAGAGAGGATCCCACTACCATCAAGAGAGAAGAACTAGGAGTGGAGAGCATCCTTTGGACCCAGAATCCCTGCGCTGAGAACCTCCTAGATCCAGGAGACAGAGAGAGAGAGCTGTAACACCTGAAACGCTGAGAGACAGTGAGAAGCAGAGACAAAGAAATGGCGGCAGCAGAAGCAGCAGAACCAGGAGGCCAGCAGGAGAGAGCGCAGTGGTCTTCCTGGCCCACAGAGTGAAAAAGCTGAGCACCTTGGGGCAGGAGGCTGGCTGGCCTAGTGGGGTGCTTCTGGGCACTTGGCAGCAGAGCTAGGCTCACTGACCTATGAAGCAAGAGAACTAAGTACTTTCAGGTCAAGACTTACTAGCAGACTGAGGTGCATCCGGGCACTTATCAGGGGAGCTAAAAGAGCTTTATAGCACCAGGCCAAGGGACCAAGAGGAGCGGCGAGAGAGAGGCCCACCTGTGGGCATGGCTGAGAAGAGGCTGTCTTGATCGAAAAAGTGTATCCTGAGCATTCCTGAACCTAAATTGTAACCTGTTATTTCCTTAATAAACTCCATAATTGTGAGTATTATCTGTGAGTTCTGTGTGACCGTTGCAACAAGTTACTGAACTCAGCAGAGAAGAAGAAAGTGCCATGAGAGGGATGGTTGGTGTCAGAATTGGTAAAAAGGTTAGAGAGAGGAGGCATGTCTAACTTCTGCCTCATAGAAATCAGCCTTGAGTTGTTGATCTTGATTCTGTCTCCCCCTCACGAAGTTAGAGGAGGTCAGACACTGCTGCCACACCATTTTTACAGATTCCTTCTGTCTTTCATATTCTATAATTCTATTTTATATTAAAATAAAGAAAAGATGTTAGTCCAATCTATTTTTCACTAATCTTTGTCATAAAAAAAGCAAAAATGGAAGAGCTGAGATTGTTGTGATTGCTTAACCCAAAGAAGAGAAAAATTCTAGAGGATAGGAGGGGGTGGAAAAATGTTATGGTTCTCTTCGGGTATCTTAAAGGCTGCTGACACATGGAAATTTTTAGGTGCCATCGAGTCGGTTCTGACTCATAGCGACTCTACGTACACATCAAAGAGAGGTGGACTTAATCTTTTTGGCCGCAAGGAAGGTAACTAGGACCAACGAGGAGAAGTTCTAGACTTCTACTCTTTCTAATAAGCAAGGCCTGCCTGCCACATGAGGTCCCACAGTGACTTAGCCTCAGTGGGATGATAGGAACAGGGAAACGAAAGATAAATGCCAATTCTAAGATTCTTTGATTCTATAATGGGTTGGCGTTACGTCTTACCCCTGTGAAGGAGACTCTATCCTTCACAAGGTTAAAAACTATGGTTCGGAGGTATCAAACCACAGCCACAGAACTTCAGTCATCAATAAGTAAGAGAAAAAGACATAGGAAAGAAGCGAAGAGAGGGGCCTGAGACAACAAAATTCATTCTAGGAGACCCTATAGGCCCTGTCTACTCTGAAGACTGGTTCCATTTTGGAACTTCCAGTAGTCACCATGTTCACTAACCGGATTGTTAGGTTTGCTGGGTGTGAGCTCTGAACCATCTTAAGAACCTGGCTGTTTCTCTTGTTCTCTTTCAGATGTTCACCTCCACAATATTTGCTGTGATTGGAGTCTTGGGTGCAGGATACTCATTTGTCATCTCAGCCGTGTCAATTAATAAGGGTCCTAAATGTTTCATGGTGAATGGTACCTGGGGCTACCCTTTCAACAACGGGTAAGTCTACACTCTGCCATGTCCACGTATTACCACAAGGGGCACGGGCGGGCAAATGGCCCGAGAGAAGACAGTGCATAATGTCATGTCATCTTCATTACACAAGTCTCAGGCATGCTGCTTCTTTGAGGCAGAGCTGGAATTGGTGTGGAGTGGAGTTTCGCGAGATCTCCACTTCTAATCGCTCTTTCGGGGGATGTCACCACTCACATCTCCAGACATTAATTAGCAGCAACACAACCCACTGCCTCTAAGTTGATTCCAACACATAGCAACCCTGTAAGACAGAGTAGAACTGCCCCATGGGGTTTCCAAGGAGTGGCTGGTAGATTCGAACTGCTCACCTTTTGGTTAGCAGCCGAACGCTTAACCACTGCACCACCAAGGCTCCAGCAGCAACACAAAGCAACTAATAATATTAGTAAACAGAAGCACCTTCTGTTGCAAATAGAAAACAAGAATAATTACTCATCAACTGGGCTCAGAAGCTTTCACTAACATTCCAGATCGTCTGTAATTAAACAGTCTTTTAAGGTACAAATTTACAGAAAATGACATTGAAAGAATAGTAGGTTCCTCATGAGAGTTAATGCTAATAGGACTCATTTTAATAGCACTTAATATTTTTATGGTACTTTGTAGTTTATGGAGCCCTGGTGGCACAGTGGTTAAGAGTTCAGCTGCTAACCGGAAGGTTGGCAATTTGAATCCACCAGCTGCTGCCTGGAAACCCTATGGGGCAGTTCTACTCTGTCCTATAGGGTCTCTGTGGGTCAGAATTGACTCGGTGGCAGTGGATTTGGTTTGGTTTTGGTTTGGTAGTTTATAAAGAACTTTTTATCCTAACAAATTTACAATTCAATCTCCACAGCAACGCCTAGAGGTAGCTACTCTCTGTCAAACCAAAAAAATCAAACCCATTATGCAGCTAGTGGGGGGCAGGGGGCAGGGTTCAAACTCAGGTCTTCTGACTTCGAGTCCTAGGCCTTTCACATTACACATTTTTCTGTCCACTAGTCCTGCGATGTCCAATACAATAGTCAGTAGCTATGTGTGGCTATTTAGACTTAAATTAATTAAAATGAAATAAAATACAAAATTCAATTCCTCAGTTCCACTGGCCACATTTCAAGTACTCAGAAGTCACATGTGAATAGTAGCTACTGTATTGAACAGCACAGATAGAAAACATTTCCATCATTGCTGTTGTTGGAGTCAACTCCAACTCATGGTGACCCTGTGTGTGCAGAGTAGAACTGCTCCATAGGGTTTTCAAGGCTGTGGCCTTTCCAGAAAGAGATCGCCAGGACTGTCTTCTGAGGCACTTCGGGGTGGGTTCAAACCACCGACCTTTTGGCTAGTAGTCGAGTGCTTAACCGTTTGCAGCACCCAGAGACTCCTCCATCATTGCAGACAGTTCTATTGGACAATGCAGCACTAGACTCTAACCTCCAGGAGTGCTCAGATCATTACTGTTTTGTTCACCATTGCAGCCCCTCTGCCTAGCATGGTAATTGACACATCCTAGGAAGTCAGGAAACCCTGGTGGTGGTGTGGTTAAGTGCGATGGCTGCTAACCAAAAGGTCAGCAGTTCGAATCCACCAGCCGCTCCTTGGAAACCCTATGGGGCAGTTCTACTCTGTCCTATAGGGTCACTATTAGTTGGAATCCACTCAACGGCAATGGATTTCGGCGTTTTTTTTTTGGTTTAGAGAGTCAGGAAATATGGTTATTGGGCCCTCCAGGGCATGGAGGGTAGATCCATAGCTAAAAAATCTATAGGATACCAATTTATTAATTTGAACCCCTATTTATTAGTTTACAGTGAGAGTCTAAAGAACCTAAGAGCAGACCTCAGGATGGGGATGTGGAGGGTACCGGTTCTGTTGCTACACAAAGTCTCAGTGTGTTCACAGATGTTTTATGTAAAAAATCATGCCACCCTTCTCCCACAGTTAAATAAGGGCACCAAAAAAAAAAAAAAAAAAATCAAACCCATTGCCATTGAGTCAACACGGCGACCCTATAGTACAGGCTAGAACTGTCCCATATGGTTTCCAAGGAGTGATCGGTGGATTCAAACAGCCAACCTTTTGGTTAGCAGCCACGTTCTCAACCACTGCACCACCGGGGCTCCACAGGATCTCTAGTATCCTAATAATGAATGCAGTGATCTCCAAATGTACTTATTTGACTGTGGGAAGTCCCCTTATCTTGCAGAGGATCGTTAGCGCTACACTGGCTCTGGCGTGGCTTGCTTCAGCATAGGATTCAGACCCCAGAAGGCTGAGCCGTCACTTGAGCTTCTTCCCCTGATAGCTCACTCTGTCCCAGCTTGAGGTGTGTCTATAAAACTACAGATCATATCTTCTTTCAAGGACATTTTCCCTGTTGTTTCCAAGAACAGCATCAGAGCAGCATTAAACACTTTTTTTCTACTTATTCTGCTATGTGAATGATACCACCCTTGATGAATTTACAATCAATTAGAATAAATTTATGTCCAAAGCAAGGGAGGGAGAAAGGAAACACAAGGAACAGCAAGTAACACACTCCAAAGCAGTCCTATGGTCTCATGTGTTCTGACTGTAGAGCCTAACACCCTCCCCTCACACGCTCGCACCCTGCTGGGGATGCACTAGGACAATGACCAAGGTCAGGAGAGTCCCAGCTGGCCTGTGGGCCACCACAAGAAATGCCAAACTTGGGGGAAAGATAGGAAACCGGTGTTCAAAGAACTCTGTGATTGTCGTTCTGGCAGAGCAAGTTTCCTTTTGCATCACAGCCATTTATTCCGCATTGCTCTGGGCTAGATGCACTCACATGTGTTATTTTATTTAATCTTCACAACAACTAACCCATTTGCCTAGTTTTCTAGTGCTGCTATAACAGAAACACCACAAGTGGATGGCTTTCACAAACAGGAATTTATTCTCTCACTGTCTAGGAGGCTAAAAGTTAGAATTCAGGGCACCAGCTCCAAGGGAAGTCTTTCTCTCTGTTGGCTATGGAGGAAGGTCCTTCTCATCAATCTTCCCCTGGTCTAGGAGCTTCTCAGGATAGGGACCCTGGGTCCAAAGGATGTGCTCTGCTCCCAGCTCTTCTTGGTGGTATGAGGTCTCTACCTTTCTGCTAGCTTCTGTCTCCCTTTATCTCTTGTAGGATAAAAGATGATGTAGGCCACAACCCACGGAAACTCCCCTTAGGTCTCAGATCAGGGCTGTAACCTAGTAAGGGTGTTGCATCCCACCCTAATCATCTTTAACATAACCTAATCCTGTCTCGTTAACCACAGGCAGAGATTAGGATTTAGAACACATAGGAAAATTACATCAGATCACAAAATGGAGAACAACCACACAATACTGGGACTCATGGCCTTAGCAGAGTTGACACATATTTTAGGGGGACACAATTCAATCCATGACACCATCCATTAATATGGACCAGGTTACGGAGGTTTAATATTAAAAACAGAATAGAGTAAACCCTGTGGGCAAGCAGGACCAGTTCAGAATTCTCCATCCATCCTCCATTCACTGTAGCACTCTGATCATTATCTAAAGGGAGGATGGCTGGAATACCTGGACATCTGCACCGTAGCTTCAAACTATAATGGGCTCAAAAACCACTGTGCAGGTGTGTATAGACAAAACCATCTATCTGACACTTTCCAGGTTATTTGTAGGATATTCAAGAGTGATTTTGACGATTTACGTTGTATTTTCCTCATGCCCTGACTTTAGAACACAATCCCACCTCAGATACAAATCCGCTCTCGGCGAAGTGTGAAATATATCACGGTTGCTGCAGGAAGGGCAGTCGGGAGGATGGATCCGTGTGAGGTGTGCCTCCCTGAGTCCTCTGGGCCACCTGGCATAACTTCATCTCATTCCATTGTTTTCTGGCATCCTGTTTCCTATCTTCTGAGACAAGAATCCACATTCCATTTTGATCTTATCTCCCACTGCCAGTTCCCACCCTTCCCTCTGGCTGCAGAAGCTCATCTTGAGGTTCTCATAAAAATCATTGACCTTTCTGTTGGTGTGGCAGTTTTCAGGTGACAAAGTGTTTTCGTTCACCCACAGTGTTTCATTTCATCTGTGTGAAAAGTTTTCGAGATTATTAACTCTCCCTCAGAGGGGAAATTGCTGAGGGCCAGACGGCACAAGGGATTTCCACAAAAGATACAGTTTCTTAATGACTGAGTCCCAAATCCAAGTTTTCCAACTCCAAGTCACAGTGCTTTTTCCAAGAACACAATATATATTGATTCACCCTATCCCCCTTTTGCATAGATTCCCATCTAGCTAAGCTTATGGGCCTCTGTGGGCCCTAGTCCCCTATTCTTTTTTCTATAATGTGGACTTTTCTTGTCCGTCCGATCCCAGGATGTGAGCGTTGCAGCCATTGTTGTTATAGCTGCAAGCCTAGCACACATGCACAGCTGCTTAGTGAGGAGACAGGGCCAGTCTCTCATATGAGCCCAAGCAAGAGGACTCAAGACAATTGTAACACTATCACCTAATGGTGGTGGCAGCAGCTGCTACTGCTGCTTCTCCTTCTCCTCCTCATCTTGCTTTTCTGTCTTCTTCTCTTCCTCCTTCTCTTCTTCTGTGATGATGAAGTGCTGGCTGCTTTCATATACATAATTTCACTTAATCTTCCTGATAAATTTGAAAAGAATTCCTATCCCTGGAGGAGAAAAATGAAGTTCTAACAGGTTAACTTGCCCAGGGTCCCACAGTTAGTAATTAGTAAGAGAATTTAAAACAAATACTCTTGTTGGACCCTACATTGTGCTAGGGCCTGGGCCAGATATGGAGACAAAGAACAGACTTGGTTCCCATTGGATGAGTATATGGTTCGGGTGACAACATTGAACAGATTCTCCAATGCAGGAAGTGATGAACTAGAGAAAGAGGGCAAAGGGAACTTCCCCGAGAAGGTGAGATGGGCTGGTTTGGGAGGATGGTAAGAGCTTGCCTTCCAGAAAGGG